TAGTAACAAGACAAATGAGCTGAAGGAGCTTGAGCCATAGAACTTTGAAGTCTTGCAGCTCCAAGGGAGAGATCTGCAAGCATATCTTCTGTTGGGTCCCAGTGTTGCAAAACATGTCCCTCGGCCGCTTCGCATCGCCGCGACTCGGCTCGCCCCTTTTTCGGCCCGGTCGTCGGACCAAGCGAGCGTCCGCGTCCGCGGGGACCCTGCCGTGGCATGGTTTCGCTTGGGCTCTGGGCTCTTTTTGAGGTGAAGCGGAGGCATGGGCGCCAAAGCTCCACCTGGCTGGGCAAGAAAGCGTCTTTCCAAAACTTCGAGAAGGTCTACATTACAGACTTCAGCCATCAGTCTCGGAGACCAAAGAATGATCGGGTCAACAAATAATGATAAATATACGTATACAGTATACACATTCAAGAACTCACATGTGAGGCAAATTGGAAATGTATCACATCAACATGTATGTCCTCCAATTCTGGACATGCTGCAGGCCAAGTTGGAACAGGAACATCACCTTCCGTCTCTGTTCCTATTTCTTCAACCAAACCTGGACTATCATCCACCTGACTGACCAAATGATTCCATACCAGCATATAATCCCTAAGGATCCAAGTACCTCACAAGGTACTTGGACCCTCCAAACCTGCATAACAGTGTCTCCGTGTGTCTCCAATCACCTTCTGAGAAGGTACTTGGATCCCTATGGGGAATATAAACCAGCAACTTGTAGTTACAACATGTTACCACTACAACACTGGCATACAAGGACCATCATGCTTCTTTTGTTTCTTTGTAATCAGTCAAATTGAATCAACAAAGAACATGACGCACCCAGCCGAGAAGCATGCCTGAGGCCAGTCGATCAGGAAAGGACCTGAGGCCAGTCGATCCGAATCGGGTGGAAGGGCGGACTGAACCCATTCCATGTCGAAGAAAAAATCCGTCCAGATCTTTTCGAGGGCAAATGTTGTCTCTTTTTCTGCTCAACACCCTTTACATCCTCGGTCCAAGATTGACCTCGAAACAGAAAGATGCCATCGACGGAGCAAGCCTTTACCTGCAATGGCCTCTATCCTCCGAGGTCATGGCCTGCATGTTGTGACTCATCAACTGAAGTCCAGTGTTCACCTGTGCCGAACATCTTACACAGTCACCAGTCACTACATGTCTGCCTGCACTTTCGCCTTGTACCGGCCGGATGGTCATGTATCAATGCATCACCTGGTCGAAAAGCCCCAACAAAAATACAGAGTGGATGCTTGCTTGGCTCCCCAACTGCCCACCCATCCAAATAGATAACGGCACGGTGTCCAATGTATGTTTGAAAAGGCTTTTACTTTTCTATGTAGATTTGGGGGTCTGTATATATAATGCTCTCCAGTTTGCCTCTTCACTCGTGCCCCTTCGCACATGTGAAACACGAGCGCTCGCGCATTAGGCGCTCCGGGCACAGGGGAGGTCCACCTTGTTCCGTCCGCAGGTGCAACCTGAGCGGCGGATCTTCGGTCCGTTTTCGGCGCCTCATTCCGCCCGGTTGGGACGGTTTTGGGTTGGTGCGCTGGAAGGCTGGAAGGGATGTTTGATGGGAAATTCACACGAAATCACCAAGTGCAGAGTCAAGAAGTTCAGAGTCAAGAGTCAACTCAAGAAGTGCACATGAATCACATATGTTCACCAAGTCCATCCAAATCCTGAATATAGTAGGTCCTAGTAGAAAGTACACATTTCCTGGGCCCCAAAATAGTGACTGCTAGTGGAATGAGTCTGTATGGACCCCCATCCCAAAGACATCTTGGGGTTTGTGCCATCTACTCTAAAAATCACTCTTGGCGAAAGGAAAACACTCGATATGTTGGCTAGATGTGAAGACTCGAGGATGAGATTCTCTGGGTAGGTTTAGATCAAGCGATTCTACTATAGGACACCGGGATCTCCATTCAAAGCAGCGCCAAAGCCACAGCACTAGAGACGACAAATGAAGGGGGACGACCAGTAAAAAATATCATCCAAACCATCATACATCAGCTGGAATACAAACGTAAGTACTGGACATATCAGGAAACGGTGTTCTTGCGTTATGACACATAAAGCTTTGCAACACATACACCATGAGAATCCTCATGACCGGTTCTTTTCGGCTTCCGTGCGGCGTCCGTGTGGCGTCGTTCACTTGTTCGAAGCAGAGTCGGACTCGGAGAGACCGGTCCCTGGATCCTCCAAGAAGGATTCCAACTCTCCCAGGAACGGGAAGTGGAGTTCACCCCCTGTTTGTAGAGGAAAATGGTCTTCAAGGTTTTTTTTGAAGGGGGCCATTTTCCACTTCCTTAGTTGATTCCAGGGAGTGTAATACGATTTATTTTGTGGGGGGCAGTCCCAGCTAACAGGTGGAACTTCCTGATGAGGATCGGAATTGGATCTCCTCCCACGTCTACTCCTTCCCATCTGTGCTCTCCTGCTACTGGCTCGGTGTCCTCCTTCCGGGTCGTTCGGATCAGGTTGCTCCTTGGAGGTGGAAGAGCTCGGTTTCCATGCCGAAGTTGAGTAGATTAGCACAAAAACATACAAAAACACAATAGTGTAGACTCCGTTGGTCACTAAAGTATACTGTACATCTGCACAGGGGTATAGATTGATCAGTCTACGTGACCACCGGCTGTTTCGGGACAACTGCGTTCAACTAGTTCTTTGGGTTCTATTAAGTTTACATACGAATCATCTGTGATCCAACCACTGGTGCGTTCCAACCAGCCCACCACCTCAGGGTGGTTTCAAAGGGAATCTCGTCCATTGCAGTCCTCCCAGCCGAAAAAGTCCGGCAGTTCTCGGTGCTGAGCTGCTTTTGTGAAGTAGATGCACTCCCTAAGACGAATACAGGTGTACTTTATTGAGATCCCAAACCGGGTAGGACGACTCTATTGATCCTTCTTTGGGTCTCAGGGGTCGGTCACGAGCCACGACCCATATGACCCGACCCTTCTTTCGGCTTCACGTTCGGAAAGTGAAGTTGCTGTAATACTTCTGGGTGCTTCTGATTCTTACCTTTGGCAATCTGTGGGAGATATGATCATGAAAGACGTGATGAAGATACAACTGACAAGTCAGAATTTCTGAACGAACTCGAGTTGATGAGCAGCAGGTCTGTTCACCCCTTCAAGGTGAATGATGTCGATCTTTTCTCAGCATTGCCTCCGTGTTCGAACACGAGGTGTGTGTTTTGATGGATTCACGGGTGGATGAGGGATCTGTGGATGGGGTCAGATGGGTTGTCCAGGATGGGGAATCTGACCATCTGACAGGCTTACCTAACACGCTGACCATTTAAGCTGTTGGGTTAGGTAAGCTTGGAACAGGTATGAATAGCTCATGATGCCACCTGTAAGCCTGGAACAAGTAAGCCTGGAACCAGTTGGAGCAAAACTACCCAGTTGGAGCTCGTCCACCTTCCCCGACCACCTTCCCCGAGTACAACGACGACAGTCCTTACAACTCCCCGGTTGATTTGGTCCATCCAGTGCCAAATCAAGGGGAAGAAGAAGGAACATCGACCAAAACCATCTAAAAATATCATTGTTGTGTATCTCGATCCAGTACACACCGATTTGCTGCGTGGCCAGTGGCTAGCTTGGTCTGCAACAAGGGCATGGCCTCTTTGATGGAAGGGAAGCCTGAGCTCGGCCGCCTAAGGCGGTGCCCCGCCAGGCTCCATCTGCAGTCTGATTACTGTCGATCACTTGTCACATCCCTATATTACATGCTGGTGGAAGTAGCGTTTCTCACATCCTGAAACTAGGCGTACCCCACTTCCTTGGGGGGGGTTATTGTTAAACATTGTTAAACCATGCATAGGCAAGTGGAAAAAGCTGCTGCATCCT